GGTAGGGTTAAGGGTGGGGACAGGCAGCCCAGCTGTGCCTACCTTTCAGATGCAATACAGGCACAGTACAATATTTGCTTTTTTTGTCTCTGCTGCTGCCTGATTGGTTACTTCTGGTTTCGCATGGTGTCTGGTTGACTGGTCAATCCATAACTTTGGTATTTGTATCTTTAAGGCTCTATTGTATAACCTCACCTTTCAAGGTGTTTGTCACTCTGGGTCACATCTTCAGGCTATTGGTGCTAATGTCTTGGGCTATTTATTCAAAAACAAAGAAGCAAGAAGGCAACTAAAATGGCTTTTAAACAAATTATATGACAGTGACAAATGTTCAGTATCCATGATTGAAAGTAGCAGGAAAAAGCCCAGCAATACTTGCTAATGTTGTTTTCTTCTGACTATTCAAAATTCTGGTATTTCCACTACCTTCAAACTGTGAAATGCTCCTGGATACCCACTCAATGTATCTGTGCCGAACAAAAGCTGTTATGAGAGGTGGTTTCATTTAAAAAAAAACAACAACTCTCTGTAGCTATTCAAACTGCTCAACGGTAGCCAACAGGGTTGGCATTTTAACCATCCTTGACCCATTCATATTTAGGAACGTAGTGATGGCATACCAAATAGGAAACTGGCCTACGTGGACCTCCTGGGCTTGTGTCTGATAATGTCGAGGTCAGAGGAAGGTGCAAGAAACTTCATCATGGACAATTAAGGAATAACCTCTTGATTAGGGTGGGGGGGGGGCACGTTTCTAACCCCTGTTAGTGGCTGGCTTGTGTCCTGAAGCTGAAGCAGTGGCTCTCAATCTTTCCAGACTACTGTACCCCTTTCAGGAGTCTGATTTGTCTTGTGTACCACCTCCACCCCAGTTTCACCTCACTTAAAAACAACTTGCTTACCATATAATTATAAAATAAACCAATTGGAATACAAATATTGTACTTACATTTCAGTGTATAGTATATAGAGCGGTATAAATCAGTGGCTCTCAACTTTTCCAGACTACTGTACCCCTCTCAGGAATCTGATACGTTTCACCTTAAAAACTACTTACTTACAAAATCAGACATAAAAATATGAAAGTGTCCCAGCACACTATTACTGAAAATTTACTTACTTTCTAATTTTTACCATGTAGTTATAAAATAAATCAATTGGAATATAAATATTGTATGTACATTTCAATATATTGTATATATTGCAGCATAAATAAGTTATTGTCTGTATGAAATTTTAGTTTGTACTGAATTTGCTAGCGCTTTTTATGTAACATTGTAAAACTAGGCAAATATCTAGATGAGCTGATGTACCCCTGCGTACCCTGCAGGATGCATGTACCCCTGGTTGCAAACCACTGCCCTGATGTAAACATAACATTGAGTTCTATAGTCCATAGGCCTAAGGTATAAATAGCCCATGCCCTCTAACCATCCTATAGTTCTTCTCTAGTTCCAAAAGCAGCATTTGGAGCTGGACTCTAAACTAGATGGGTGAAGGGAGGGTCACTGTGGCTTTGTGGCAGTAATACTTTCAGCACACAAGAGTTAACTGCTGGTAAGTAACTATATGGCGCCAAAGAGCCGATGGCTCCAGAGACAATTGCTCAGGAAATGTTCCCTGCTATGGGGCAGCAGAATACTAGTCTGGCCTTGCCACTGATGATGATGCTAATATCCCTTTCTCCACTGCTTAGCAGGTATTGGCTGTGAGTAGTTTGGCCAGACAGAACAGCTGCCCAGCCTGGATAAGCAATCTGAATGGGTAGCACTGGTGGTTCTGACTCACAGCAATCACTAGCTCTTGAATAAGTAAATACCCTTTATAGACACACAACTTGTCATCGTATATAGTGAACAACTCTTCTTTATAAAGCTTTAGGCGGTTTCTGACAAACATCAGTCCCGTTTCTATGCAAGCTGACCACTGCTTCCATTATCTCATTGCTCACTCCCCAGAGTTTACTTTTTCCTCCTGAAACACATTCTGTTACATGTACTTTGTATTGTCTAGCTTCTTGCAAAGTTGGAAGAGGTGACCTTTTCTCTGGAGCACAACTCACTTTCCTTCAATACACAAGAAGACTGTTCTCTTGGCTATGACAGAGTCACATGGAACTGAAATAATGGCACTTACCATTGTAGGAAAACTGAAAGTTGATGATACCCAAATTCAGTGGACAAGACCAGATCACAAGGTAGAACACAAGGATGTTTCAGAATGACTGTAACAGATCAAAGTGAATTTGTTAACTTCACAGTAAAATGCCGTCTTTGAATATTAATGCTAGGAATTCAGTGATTGATTTAACTCCTCTCTTGACCAGAGTAATACCATTTTGCAATGTAAGGACAAGTCTGAACTTCACTTTTTAAATTAATTATGTGTCAGTGATTTAGAAATTAATCAGATGTGACCTCATGGTTCATGTGTTGATTTTAATTTCTGCTTTACAATAGTCCAGATCTAGGAGTCTATTCCCATACTACAGTAATGCAGACACTCTCACCATGAATTTAACTTTCATTCCCGATCTTTTATTTACTTTGTCATTTTAAAGTGCTAGTGATGGTCTGGCAACAGCTTTCTTAAGCTGAAAAGCCCAAACGCCTTTTATATTTAAAGTATTAGAGGTTTAGTGAAAAAATGAAGGATGAACTATTTGTTGTGGTTCCAATTAATACCACTGTTGATAAGAAATGCTTCTGCCCTTATGACCATTTTCAATGGAATAGCAAATTGTATCAAGAATAGTCAGTGGCATGAAAGGGGCATATTTGTTAAACATGGCTGATACGCTGTGTTCTGCACAGAGAGGTCAAGGGTCTCACTACCCAACCATCTGAGCCTCCATGGTGCTATAAATTATTCTTTTAAAGGTTACCCAATTTTACATAGAGACTAAGCACATCTGACTCAGATACACCACTGATGTTTAGCTGATGTTTTAACCAATGCTGGCATTATTATTTATGCAGGGAAGTAGCATGACACTAATTTAACCATAAATTCCTTTATTAAAGCCGAAGGCTGAATGCTATTTATACAATTACAAATCAGACCCAAACTGGTAAGATGTAGCCTGACTGTCAGTGCTCATATTGATTTTTAACCTCACTGGCAGTCAGTAGTGTAGACACTCGCAGAGCTTGTCACAGGAAGCACAGCATGCTGGACGTGCTTCCCCTCCTTGCAGAAAAATCCCATTTTAAAATGTCAGTTTGACTTGTCTACTGTCTATACTTAGATTATTATTAATGTTTGGATCCCACAAAGATATTTCCCCGCTATTTGCCATTTAAAAAAAACTGGATTGGACACTAGCCGGAGTTAGGGTTTAGGACCTTCAGCACGGAAAGCTGTAAATCACCAGAGACTCTGAACACAGACCCAAAGCTAACGCCTAAGAACAGCAAGTGTGGTCTTGCACAATTGTTAATAATTTGATTCCAGTGCATGCCCCTTACTGCCAAACGGAAAGAAAGATAAACATTAAACGAGACATAACTCTCTACAAGAATCTGACAGGTGTAAGCCACCATGAGGGAGCAAAATTATTTAGGGTAGTACAATGAGGTATAACTAGGAATAATTGTCTGGTGGTAAGCAAAAGAACAAGCATGTTGAGGCCAAGGGAGTATAGGACTGCACTTTATAACTACGTTGGGGGGTAAAGACATGGGAGAATCTGATCTAGGACTCTTTGTGCACATTGTTCAGAAACATTGCACAAAATATTTCTGACAAATTTTATTTTAACATTTCATTAACTAAGTCACTATGATTGAATAGCACACGTGAAAGGATCATTTAGCTGCAACCTTACAAATATGACAAGTGTAGGGGGTTCCTAATGAATTGGTTTTGCCAGTGCTACTTTCACCAAGAAGAGTGACAAGAAGCGTGTGTATTAGAGAACACTAGAACTACCATATAAGCATTGATTCTAAAAACCAAACTCTCAGCCTCAGCAAGAGACTTCAGCATTTGTAGAGCCTGCAGCTTTCTTGATTTTACTGAATTTGATCAGGTACATAGTTTGAGCACTAAACAAATATATTCTCCTTCTACAGTACAGAAGTTGTTTGAATGAATTTGTTTCTCATTAAAAGCAAAAGATTATAAGGCAGCCCTCTTCGGGGCAACCATTTCTACACAGCTCTGCCATTGCATGTTGGACCTAGGACCCTATTATGCATTCAGTTATATTAGTATGTATCAGAAGCAATGTCCCTGGAGTCAGGGAGTTATAGGCATGAAAGAAAGAAAGAAAGAAAGAATCAAGTCCCTAATCTACAAAACTCCTCCCCACACATGCTGTCACCAGGCTATGTGTTGCCAGGTAGAGAAGGCAGACATTCAATTGGGACTAGAATGGTAGCCAGCAAAGGTTTCTGACATAAGCAGGACTGAATCTCGCCAACAGTGGTGCAAGGTCTGAGCATTAACCCCCTTATTTTTATTCCTTTATTAATAAATATGATTTTAGCAGCTGTCAGTATAAATGCAGCATTGTGATAAATTAGTCTGCAATAACTTTTTTGTTTTTATAAAGAAAGTGAAGTCTCGGGCAGATGCAAACAGCATCCCAAACAAGCCACTATCTGAAAGAACTCAGGGATGCCATGAAAGTGAGATATTTCTGATTGTTGGTAGGCACCTGCTGTCTTTTACAAATTAAAAAAAAAATAAAATAAAATAAAAAAATTATAGTTCGCATGGGGCTTGATTTAACTACAGCTTCCTTATTTATTCAATATATTGTCAAAAATATAAAAGTAAGTTGTGTTTTATTGTAAAAGTGCCCAACATGGAGATAAACAATTTAATCTGGCATTTATCAGGATGTCACAAGAACTGTGACACAAGAAAGATGTCACAAGGATGCCCACATTTCTAGGTTTAAATTTCTATGGAAATTAAGATCACAACATTACTAACCAAACTGGTAAGAGAAATTCTGGCATAGTTTCAAAAATGAAACAAAACACAAGCAGCAATCGACTTTAACAGATTTCCTTTCCTTTTTATTTAAGCAAGCAAACAAGCTTCAGAATCAGATGAACAAAAACTATTAAACGGATAACACTATTGTTTACATTCACAGATCTTTCTAGAGCAGAAGTTTCATTAGCTACCAGATCCATTTAAGTCAGCTTCTTTAAGAACAAAAACCATTGGCCTGTGAATTATTCCAGTTCCTAATATAAACGTGACTGCTAGTCACATCAATGTTGTGCTAAACGAGTTCACCTCACAAATAGATTTGATGCAGAACATAGCTTTTTGGTTATTCTTAAGAAGAGAAACAAGAAACTTTCCATCTCAGTTTGTGTTCTCCCTCTCCTCCCCTTCATCAAGATTTTTGTACTAATCTTTCAATATAAGAGGAGCCTTCACTTGATCAGCCACTTCCTTCCCCATCAGTACTTCAACAATAGCCAGGCCAAACTCAAAGCTGGTGCCAGGACCACGGCTGGTGAGAAAGTTCCCGTCCTTTTCCACACGGCTTTCAGAGTACTTGTAGTGATCTTAAAGAGGAAAACAGAACACAGAAAACGTTCAGGTTGATGCAGCTCATGCACAACTCCAGTAGCAATTTGGCAAATTCTTCCAGACCTGCTATACTACTCAGTACTGTTAGCCCCAAGTGTTCAAAAATCATGAGTCAGGTCCACCAAAATCATGAGATTTTTTTAAAATACATTTTGTGTTCTCTCTAACTTCTGGCTTTCAAATCTTTAAAGCTTTTCTTTATTATCATGAGGCCTAGGATTTTTTTTTTAAATAAAAGCTGCGAATTTCTCCCAATCACATGCTTATGGTTAGTGCTTTAAGAAAAACCCACAATAAAAACCTCACAGTAAACCCTTCTCCTTCTCCCCCAAGAGCGGACAACACTTGTACTGCTAATTAAGACAGTATGTGCTTCATTAATTAATGCCTGTGGCTTGCAAACCTATCAGCTTTTTGTGAAAGCTCTGATGTATTACACTATGCTTTTAGATAGGGTCTTGGAAATTCATCATATTACACAATAGAATATGCTACAGTGATTTCCATTTAAATCTGCAATCCCTCACAAAGGTTCACGTATCCACTTCATACTGTCTGTGAAGGGAATGGCTTGGATACTGCAAGGCAATGAGGTGAAAGGGATGTATATCTTGTATGTGGCCCTTAGCAATAGTAGTGCTAACTCCAGTTCAAAGTCCATATTGAATGTTAGCATAAAGCAGGTCATCTTTCCAGCATAGGCCATTATTCTTAAGAGTTTAGGAATTAGTGGCCATTATTGGCTCCAGGTGAAAACGTGCCACTAAGCCTCACCTTGGAAACGAATCCCAGGTTGGAGAAGCCAACAGCTAGTGCCAGATGGAAGACTATGACCTTACCTGGACCCCATTGTAGGAGGAGGAAGGGACATGGTTCAAATT